TATATATATTATATTATAAATATTTCAGATGATCAAGTATACTCAGAGATACATAGCACCAACCTAAAGCCAAAAGCATATATTTGTCTAAAATAGATTAGGCTATGTACGAATGTCAGAATTGTTTTCTTAAATTATTTTCAAATCATTAAAATTCTTTCCAGTTCCCCCTGCTACGATAAAATTTAAGGGAAAAATTAAAACAAGTAGAATTGCCCTGTTACCTGAGGATGATATCACTAGCTACCTTGCACTTAGCTTTACTGAGAGAGACATAGAAGCAGAGGCCTAAAGCATCAAAGGAAAGAATAAAGTGGTAGGAGCAATATCAGGTACCTTTCTCGACAAAATGGTAACGAGCACTTACTTGCATAGTTTCAAGCATATGGCGTTGATGTTGAGTAATTGCTGCACTATTACACACCTTCTTTGTGTTTAAAATTCAATTGGATAGATGCTTCCTACATCCAAGAAACATGAAATTAAGTGTAAATATATACATGAACACGAGAATTGTCTAGATTTCGACGCTAACCTTGATTTTCTCCTTTCGGGTACCCAATATTTGCTAAAAATCTAAGAGGATTCTCCTGATCCAATCAAAATCATGCAAGCTAGTTGGGGCTATGAGAGATGCTGGTCTCATTTTCCCATGCCATCTTTCTCTTTTTCTTTCTATTTCTCTTTCTCTTTCTCTTTCTTGAAGCATCGTCCATCTTCTTTGATAGGCTATCACAAACTCTAATCAGCTCAACATTCTGAGATTCATGTTCCTTCTGAACTACCATTGTTGCTTGATCCATCTCTAGAGCTTTATTCTCATACTCCAAATGTAGTCCCCTCTCTGTTGTGATGGTATTCTCAACAAACGCCTGCGAACCAGAACCGCATGATGGCTCTAGTTGTTCAAATACCATAGAACAGCCAATTTCAGTTGTCACTGCATTATCATTTTGCGGAACTGGATGGAGTTTGAGACTTTGTGTCACCCGTTGCTTCCTTCTCCATCTCCTAACTTTATTCTCATATTCCAGGCGAATTCCCCAACATGCTTCCGCTTCTGAGGATACCTCAAATAGGCAATAATCATTTAGGTTCTTCTCTTCTTTATTGTCAGAAGTGCGCCACAATGCTTTAAATGGTATGTAGTACCACAAGACAGAAGGAAAGTTAAGGCAACGTTGGTGGATGTGAAACATCAAGGAATGTTTTCTTTCAGGCTTGCAGACCAATGTAGCTTTTAGATCAACTCTACATCTATCAGAATAGAAGCATATCGAAAAACCCAGGAATTTATGGGTATACCAGGATGGGTTTAGACAAATTGAGATCTTTGATTGATTTATAAACTGATAATCGAACGACTCTGGTATGCTGACTTCAGGGAAAGTAATGCAAAAGTAGCTCCTCAGGTGAAAGTCACACTGCAACAGAAGATCATTATTAGTATAGATCAATTAATTGACATTCATATGTGAGGGAGAGACAAAAACCTGGATATATGTCCTGAGAAAATGCTGTAGGAACTTCAACACATTAACTTGGTTAGTTATGACAATTCCGCATTCGGTCCTTTCATGACCATACCATGATATACAGATGGCATGCAACTTAACACACTTAAATACTATATCTCTGATGCTCTTCATGGCTAAATGATAATCTGCATATAACTGCTCTAAATTTGGGGGTAGTTCAAGTTCATTAAGATTCTGACAGAATCGCACATCCAGGGATTTAATGCTTACGAGTTTGTTGATGCTTTTGGGTAAACAAGAAATATTGCTTCCTCTTAAATTCAACTCTTCCAGAGAGTGCAAAGATCCAAAATCCTCAGGAAGTCCACCCAATATGTTGCAATTACCAAGATGAAGTTCTGTCAAGGAGGAAAAAGCTAATAGTTGATGTGAAACAAAACTTGACGAATGCTGCACTTGTTGTACAGCATGCGAGAATCGTAACATCTCCAGATTGCGAAGCTTGGTGATGGAGGGAGGTGGTTGGGATATTGCAGTATCACTTGCATCAAGTTCTTTTAACCGTTGAAGATCACCAATGTTTTCTGGAAGCTTCTCTAACTTTTTGCAGCCTTCGAGAACAAGTTCTTCAAGCTTCTTCAAATTACAAAGGCTGTTGGGCAGACTTACAAGATCTTCACATCCTTTCAGATTGAGATATTCGAGGTTGCTCAGATCCCCAATGGATGAAGGCAGACTTACAAGATCTTCACATCCTTTCAGATTGAGATATTCGAGGTTGCTCAGATCCCCAATGGATGAAGGCAGTTCTCTTATCCCTGTAAATTGTATGGTCAGTTCTTCCAAGGAATGAATATCTCCATTGATTTCTGGAAATGTATCTAATTTTGGGCAATTAGATATCTTGAGTTGTGTAAGGGACTTCATCTGAATAGAGTTTGGAAGCTTCTTTAAATTCTGACAGTCTTCTAAAACCAACTCAATAAGCTTCTTTTGAACTCCGACAGATAGGGGGAGCTCTACCAATCTAGAACAATGGTATATATAAAGTTCCTCCAATTGCTCTGATTCAAAAAGGCTGTTTGGCACTGCTAGTTTCTTGCTATCTGAAATCTTCAGAAATCTAAGAATTTGAATGCTAGTGTCTGGAATACTTTCAAGATCTTCACAATCTCTCAAATGTAATTTGCTTAGACCACTGAGAGAAGGGGGTAAGCTTCTTATCCGGGGGGATTCCACATAGAGTTCTGATAAATGCTGCATATTTCCACAGATTTTTGGAAATTTTCTTAAACTTGTGCATTCACGAAGGTCGAGAGTCTCAAGAGATTCCATGGAAACAAATTTTGGAAGCTTCTTAAGTTTTGTACAACCCCGCAAATTCAATTCTTTAAGCATTCTGCAATGTCCAAGAGACGGATGGACCTCTTCCAAATTCATACACCCACACAAACTTAGTGTCTCCAAGTTTGGCATATCACCAAAATTAGGGCTTTTTGTTAACCTGAGGCTCTTGGTTAGATCCAAATGCTTCAACTTGTTCAATCTCTGTTTTCATACAAGAGTGGAATAGAAAACATAATGTTTCTGTGAACTTAAGTAGTAATAATAGAAATATTCCGATTGTATTTTGTGGAGGGAAAACAAAAAGAGAGAGGGAGAAGAGAAGGTTGTTACAGAATTGACGGAAAATGCAAGCTAATTAAAACGGAAAAGTTTCGTTTTCAGAATGGTCACTAAAGTAAGTAGACTGGACGAGAAAAAAAATTTAAACAGTAGCTAATGTGGAAAATAGAAACAAGCTTTCAGTTTTGTTTTTGAGATACATAATTGTCTTAACATCTAAAAATATATTTCTTCTCTTTTAATTTCACAATGAAAATAAAAACTTTTTTAATATCATAGATCCTTTTTAGATTTTACTTTTTAAGATATTGAAAATAAAATATTTATAGGGCTTACGCCGTGAGGGACTACCCTGGCGCTAACACTTCAACCCCGGTGCTTACATGTCATCTTTAGAGAAGTGATAAATCAAATTATAAAAGGGAGAAGTTTTTATGCCAATTCAAGCTCTTTATTACTTAGATTATCTTTAGAAATAAATTATACACAAAAACAAGTGTATATTCAAGATGTTCTATAATTATAAAGATTTGTTGAGAATCATTATTCTATTATTTTGTGCAAGAACTTCGCATCAAATTGCCATACATTTGAAATTGCGAAATCCAAAAATTAAAAATATTTCACATGAAAATAGTTTCTTTATTATTCTTTGTGATAAAGTATTGGAAACAGCCTCTCTATCCTCACAAGATAGGGTTAAGGTCTACGTACACACTACCCTCCCCAGACTCCACAGTGTGGGATATTACTGGGTATGTTGTTGTTGTTGTTGTTCTTTGTGATAAAGTACATCATTTTAAGTTAATTTAAAACCCCGTTCCTATAGAAAGCAAAGATAGCTATATTTGTTTTTTTTAATGGTTCCATCCTTCTGGCAGATTATGGTGTACATAATTTATTTATTTTTTGCTTTTTGATTTTATGATGCCCAACAATTACTGTTTGATTATATTCAGAAAGAATTCAGCACAGGTTTCCCCGTTGACTTAATATTTCTCTTCAACATTTGAAAGAATACAATATTAGGTATACTAAATTCTTATAAGAAGCGGAAGAGGAAAGTCGTAAAGGATGGGGAGCTCTTCTTACGAAGATGCACAATTTAGGATGCTGTTATTTGGCCAAAGTTCAATTTTTTTAATCAAAATTCAGTTTGATGTTTCACTCACCAGCTTTAACCTCTCTCTGGTGTCAATGTTTGTTATGTTATTGGAATGTTTTGTCAGAATACATCTACAAACTACAAGAAGATTGAGGAGGAGGAAGGAATAGAAATTTGGGATTGGGTTCGCTGGAATTCAATCGGGGAGCAAAATGGGAAAGAAATGGAGAGGAAATTTAGGGATTTGGATTAAAGACCAAAAACTCCTTATATCTAACGTGGTGGCATGTCTTGTCAGATGTATTTTGGAGAATTTTTTTTAATTTTTTTTTTTTTAAAAAAGTGGTGGTTTGATTAGAGCAGCCCATCAGGCACTTGTTGGGCCTGAGTAGCACCGACTCGTTATCCTTCCACTACACAGAGCGGGAGCTCATCGTTGCTCTGTGAAACAAGCCTCACGCGATCCACCCCACATTAGGAGCCAAGCAGCCCAAGCCTTTGGCATGGACCACGTGGCCCAACTCTGAGCTTGGAGAGGGCAGGCCAGAAATTAGCTACCCAAGTCCTGCCTTTTGGACAGGCCCAACATTCCACCATGTTAATGCCCCCACTTGGGTTACTAGCTCTTGTGACTGAGCTCGGCGTATTTTGGAGAAGTCAAAATGTGGGTAACCCATATATAATGTATTTAAATGCTTTCTTCACTTTTGAAGGTTCATAAATATGAATGTTTAGTGAATATGAATTACAGAAACAAGTACATAGCATGTTTAAGTCCTTTTGCATGCTTCCCAGTAGATTTATTTATTATATTTGCTCCTACAAACAAAGTTTGTTGACCCATCTTTTGATATACAGTTTATCAACTCAAAACAGGACATGCATCGATTTTTCAAGGTTTAGATCGCGATTCCACCTATATATTTTGAAGATTTAATTGGGAAAACAAGATGGAAATATGAGTTGTGGAGTGAGAGCAAAAGATCATAGGTCTGATTTTGGATGAATTTTGTTCACTGGACCAGTAAGTTTAAATTTTCACTTTTCAAGTGAGTGATTACCAATACTATATTGCATATTTGCATGTAGCATTTAAAACGTGGAGTGATTAATTTTTGTGCATTAAACCTAGCAAACAAAAAAATGGAATTTTGTTGTATTGGAGAGAGAGAGAGAGTGTGTGTGTGTGTGTGTGTGTGTGAGAGAGAGAGAGAGAGAGAGAAAGAGAGCAAGAATACCTTTGATATTGGCCAAAGTTCGACAAGCCGACTATTATATAATATAAGCCCCACGAGGTGTGATGGTTCAAATCTCTGCGGCAATGAACTTGAAGGATAGAACGGCCATTGAATCCACCGCAGGCTAGAAGGAAGACAAGTGACAGTGCTTTCCGAGCAAAAAGTTTTATTATCAACTATTAATACCTGTAAGCTTTGCATCCTCTTCAATACCTTGTTATGATTTAAACTTTCATCTTCAAAATTGTAACCTTTTGGGATCTTCAGGCTTTCCACCTTTTCTTTTTTCTGTAAAGAAAGAAACATATATCTATTTTTCAAGTAATCAATTAAAAAAAAAGCAGAAAAAACTCAACGAAACAAAGGCACAATACTATCAGCTTACAAAACTATCAATTTTGTTCAAATATCCCTTACCAACTTTCCAGCAAAAAGGTCATGAACCTCCTCATGAAGCCATATTCTGCTGTTTGTGTGCTCTTCCTTCAGGACATTTTCACCCATTCCTCTAATCAAACTATGCATATTAAGTATGTAGCTGTAGCCATCTCTACTGATGGATAAGAGAGATTTTTCAATGAGACGGCTTATTCCTATCAAGTGATGAATACCACAACTCTTAAGTATTCGTTCCACATAATATCTTTGTTCATGATTGTACAAGCATGCGATATCCAAAAATATTCTCATCTCATCTTTATTCAATCCATCAAGACCAATCTTAAGTTTTCCTAAAATGTCATCATTAGGGATTTTTTTCAGTCTATCAATTATATCTCTCCATTGCTCTTTGTTTCGTCCACAAAAAGAAGGACCCAAAATTTCAAGAGCTAAAGGGAGTCCATCAGCATACTTCACCACTTCCCTTGAAAGCTCCTCAAAATCTCTCTCTGGAGATTTTCTCTTGAAAGCATGCAGGCAAAACAGTTCAAGAGCATCATTCTCAGATAATAATAGGACTTCATACACTTTATTCTCCCCTACATGAGCGATTATCAGGTGCTTGTCTCTCGTGGTAATCAAAACTCTACTACCCCTGCCAAACCACTCTGTCCCTCCAACTAAAAATTTTAGTTGATTTAGATGGTTTACATCATCAAGAATGACCAGAACTTTCTTCCAGCGAAGCTGATTCCTTATAAGTATGGCACCTTCGCGTTCACTAGTTATAGGTATCTTTTTCCCCAATAGCTTACGGATGAGAGCTTGTTGTAGCCATGTAAGACCCTTTTTCTGGTACATTTCTCCAACATCACCAAGAAAACAATCAGCATCAAACAGATGACGATATCTCTCATATATGATACTTACAATTTCTGTCTTGCCAATACCGCTCATCCCCCATATTCCAATGGAACGAACATCATTTGCTTCCATATCCCATAATGAAATTATTTTCTCCATTTGAGGTTCCACACCCACTAAGCTTCCGGATGACGGTGGGATAGCTTGAAGTGACTTTGGTAGTATGTAATCAACTACCTTATTGATGCAATCAACCTCATCCCTACACATTGCGATGCAAAGGGAAAGTATGTAAATTAAACAGAAGTTAACATAGTGTTTTAATAGACTGTTCTCTAAAATAAATGCCCACAATAATGCTACAGGATAGCTTATATCAACTACTCATTGTTAATTATAATGTTATATCTCCAAAAATCTACTCTAGAAATAATTGTAAGCCTTATCTAGATAAATCAGAAAAATATCTTCCATCAATTTTATATATTCATTCCTGATTCCATAATTTTACTGTTTTACCTATCTAAGTCTAATAATCAACTAAACATGTTCAAAATATTGCAGAACAAAATGACGATATTGTAAGACAAATCTGGAGAATTTTAAGAAAATCATGACATCTTGCAATGATGTCTATATACCATATCAAGAAGAACTTATTATGTGGCACTCCTAGTACTGTCGGTACATTTATTAAAAAAGCACATGCTCAAGGTCTGTTCATTAAATTTGTTTTTTATTATAAATACAAGTAAACCGGCTACATGTCTCAGCTTCTGGATCGGATCTTCTTTTCCTTTTAGGCAAAATACACAGATGATACTTATTTGGAAATGTAACTTAACTTATAGTTTGGTCCTATTTCCTCTTGTAAAACGAGAAAGCAAAAAAGAAAAAGAAAAGAAAGCTAACTTATAATTTTTTAGATCATGCCCTGATAATTTTCCAGCCTCCGCAAATGCATCCCTCCATCTTTGAACCTTCTCCATATCATCTTTGTATTTTTCCTCATGTTGGGAAAATGACTCGGCAAATGGTGGACTTTGATGGCGTACATCAGATGGACTCACATCATAAAAGATTGGAATCACAGTCTGCTCCAATTCATTTTGACACTTTATGATGTGGGCAAGCTCCTCTAAGCACCATCTTGAGGATGCATAGCTTTTTGAAAATATCACGACCGCAAATCTGGAGTCTTCTATGGCTTTCAAAAGTTCATCAGAAATTGGTTTTCTTGTTTCCAGACGCTCGTCATCTTTAAAAACATCAATTCCTCTTTGTTTCAAAGCATTATACAGATGACTCACAAAGTTTTTACGTGTATCTTCACCTCTAAAACTCAAAAATACATCATATTTGAAAACTTGTGAAGAAGAGGCGTAAGACATTGTTGAAGAATATTGCTTAAGACTAACAGGAAATTCTCAGCTTTGGGTATATGATGAGAAAACTGAAACAATTGGGTTGTTGAGGTGCTTAATAATTAGAGAGAAATATTTGAAGCCTAATAGGCAAATCAATTCTCATGTATGTAAAATGCATAATTTGGTCTTTCTATCCGTCATAAAATTGAACCCTGCCTTTTTCATTATTGTGAGAAATTAAAGAGTGAAACGGGGAAGATGACTTGGTCAAAAAGGATGAAAAGCCAAAGTTGGAAAAGACGAAGAAAAACAAATGAGAAGGCAATCAAAACAAATTCTTTATTAGAATTAATACTACTTTTACTTGCAGTTAAAACATTGAATGTGAGACTGAGATTCTACGAGTTTTATCTAAATCACAATGATTAAGAAAGTCGTCGTTGTTAAGAAAATGAAGAACATCTGGAGGTTAGGAGGTAATACATGTTACAAAAATATTTTAGAGTATGCGGACACTAGCTTGTAAATAGAGAGCTGTATAGATATAATATCTAAGTAGTACTGTATATTTTAGGCACTGATACATTTTGTTAGAATTCATGTTGTTTTAAGCCATTAGATTAGTCATCAAGCTTCTCAATGGTGAATGTACTCTAATTTAATATTGTTAATGATATCTAAGTTGTTTGCCACATTTTAAGTCAATGCCTGGTATGAAGTCTTCTTAGCATTCGTACTCATATACATTTTTCCACACGTTAATTTACAGTGAATTGGAAAATTAGACTGAGGTAGTATGTTCCATCACTGTCTCAGCAACATTATTATTAATGGGGACCAACTTCTTAGAAGGTCCCAGGCAACTATTTATTGTCCACTTTAGGAGTGTCAAATTTAGTACGAGTACATAAAAATCTAAAAAAATTAAGATTTTGGAGGAGTTATGTTAGAGACTTATGGGTCGTTTGGTTGGGAAACAAATTATTCTAGGATCAATTAACGTGGAATTAGTTATCCGGGATTGTTATCCTATCCTCCCATAGAGATAAAAATAACACTACAATCCCGAGATAAATAATCTCGAAATTAGTTATACCGTGATTTTATCCCAACCACAAGTGGGATAAACTCATTTCAAATTTAATATCGGAATTAATTATCCTTTATCACTCGTACCAACGAGATCATATTGTTCGTTTGGTTGGGAAACAAGTTATTCCAAGATTAATTATCTCGGGATTAGTTATTCCGAGATTGTTATCCCATCCTCCCATATGGATAAAAATAACACTACAATCCTGAGATAACTAATTCTGGGATCAGTTATACCGCGCGATTTTATCTCAACCAAACGTGGGATAAACTCATCTCAAATTTAATTCTAGGATTAATTATCCCTTATCCTTAGAGTTATATTTATTGATAGCTCACACAATTGGTCGCTCTGGTGCTTAATAAAGAGTAAGACTTTTATACTTTCTTTCACTATTTATAGTCTTTATGGGAAACTTCTTATCACCTTCCTATTTCATGTTCACTATCAAAGAAGAACGCCTGAATGAGCAGTGGTGAAATAGGAGAAAAAAAGTAAAGTTGAAAAGAGAAAACAAAAGGCAAAAAAATTATTAAAAGGGAAGCAAAAGTAAAGAAAATGATGCTGAAATCTCTACCCAGATGTTTACACGCAAAATAATCAACAAAATTGGTGCTTAGATTAATTAAAGGATAATAATAATAAAGAGTTAAAACTTTACCTTTTTCACCATAGTTAATAGGAGGTAAAAACTGAAAGCAAGTTGTGGGGTTGGAGCATCATTTGGTCAAGGATCAAGTAGCAATAGAGGTGGCGCCGGCGCCGGCGCCGGCGCCGGCGGAGGAAGTTATCCCAAAATCTTGTCTGATCTCCGTTCACTCCTATCATATTGCCGGACTTCACCTCCTCCGATGAAAATACGATAATTTCTCAGAGGTGGTGAGCAGGAGAAAGGGCAAAGTATAAGTGTTTTGGTTAAATTTGTACACGTGGCTATCACTGGTACTAACCAGATTAATTAGAGATTAATTAATTTTTAATAGTTTTCCCTTAGTGAATAAAGGCATTTGTGTGCCCATTTGGGACGAATGATATCAATTCGGGCCGCCTTACGTGCACCTGGATTAACTTTTGCAATATTTTTAGTAAAAATTGGCGTGGGGTAGCCACTATTTAAAGTGGTATTTACTTTTTATCCACTATTTTTAATGCTGAACAAAATTAGCCACTAGTCTATTAAAATTAATATGAAAAGACTGAGTTACCCTTTCCTTTCCAAACGGAATTACAGTGGATTGGAAACACTGGGTGGGCGGAGCTAGACTTGGCGGCGATACAAGCAATAAGTAGAAGTCTCTTTTTCAGTATTTGAAGAAGAAAAGAAAAGAGATTAACAAAAGGGTATTTTCGTCCGGGCAGTTAAAGTTTATTAAAGCAGTGGCTAAAGACTAAAGACATTTTAAACGGTGGCTTAAAAGTAAATACATGTATTTTTAGTGGCCAACCGTGCACTTCCCCCATATTTTTAGGCAAATTTGGATATTTTCAATGTGATTTTTAAATTCTTCAAATTTTTTGAATAAAATTGCGTACTTATAAATTACTAATCTATATCATATTATATTATAAGCGGGAAGCTTCACATTTAAAGTTAAAATACGAAAATACCCATTAAAAACTACACGAGTATTTTGCCCTTCACTTAAAGACTACTACTCCAATAATTTTTTGAACCAAATAGTAAAATTACCTTCAAAAATATTGTTTTATCATTAATGTATGAAGCCATAAATTTATTAAACTTCTTATCGAAATATAGACCATTTAACCGCTCATTTTAATTTCAATAAATGATTAGGAAAAATGGATGACAATAGCCAAATAATTATAGCAGATGAGTGTAACGAAGTGTTATAGTAAATGTGAAAAACGAAAAGTCCTACCAAAGATATTCCCCTTCATCTCTCTATATTGTACGCTTTTTTTTTACTTCGATTTTGTATCTTCATTCTATTTCCTCGGTTAAGTTACTAACTATATACGGCCACCATATTGACATCACATATTGCAGAATCGCAAAAAATTCATAGTGTTCTGTCTAACTTTAAGTTATGTTATTTTTTATGATTGTTGCCACTTGAAAATTTACATTAAGAATAGGTAATTTAACTCCTTTTGCTTGTTTCATCTATGCATATGGAATATTTTTGTAATGAAGAAAGATATTTCTATCCGAAGCAACTCACTATATTGATGTCGAATTGTTGAAAAGCTTGATTGATGATGTGGTGTCTCCCGGAACCCATTGTCAAAGTCATAGGTATTGTTTTCATTTTTATAAAAATATTTATTTTATATATTAATGATCACGCCCAACTATGCCTTATAAAAAGGACAATGCGGTCGTTGCAAATATAATCCGGTTTACAAGTCTGTTTAACCAAAAAAAATAGAATTTCGGTTAAAACTAGAAATTAAGAAGAAGAATCGGGTTACTGCTAATCAGGAGACGAAAAGAATAAGAAATTTTTGAAAATAATAAAGCAGTAAATAAGTTCGTATTTCAATGTAATCTCAATGATATTTTGTGTCCTTACAAATGCTGAGACCTCCTCCTTTTATAGTTGATTTTTCTAGGAAAAGGTATAATGCCTTAGCCTTAAAGAGGCAATTATGAGCATTAAATGACATTAAATTAAACGTTACACAATCATTCCTAATCAATACTGATTCGCTAACGTATTTGGCATTTAATACTGAATTTAGACTCCTTTATGCCATCATATTCATATCTTCAATTCCTTCTGACCTCCTGGCTTTAATTAAGTTAAATAGATACGAGACTCGTATCATTTGAATAACATCTCGTGCCTATTTAACTTTCTTCTCCTCGTATCTGATATCTCCCGTGCCTCTTAATTGCTCATCATGTTTTGACCATTTGACTAGTCTACGTGTCATGCCACGTCATCTTCAATTATAAATTCAGTTTTTTTTCAATACAGATAGTCCCCCCACTTTCCATTTATTTATCAATTAAATATTTGGGAAGTGGATCTTCACTAAAAAGGGAATTTTTGCCATAATCAATGCTATGACAGTGTCGACGCTTCAATTGTCTCTTCTATTTAATGCACCATATACGTGTCACCTTCTCATAAGTTCTGCGATTTTGCAGCCTTTTTCTAAGACTTTTTTAACTCCACTATTCACGAAGTGATAGTTACCTTTATTATAGGCTTTCCATCATTACACTTCTTAATTATCGACGGTTGAGTTTATATATAAACTTGCCCCCTTTTTCCTTTGTCTTCTTCTTCACTAGCTTTTTACCAAATTTCTTGCTATTTACTCTCGTTCACTTCTTCTTCAGTTCATATCTTCTGTTCATATCTTCTCACTATGTCGTCTTCGAATCCTAACCCTAAAAGAGTTCCAATTCTTGATAGTTTCCCCAATGCTCCTGCTAGATATAGAAGAGGTAGAGGAGGTGTGCTTCATGGTACAGGGTCGGTTCGTGGTGGTACCTCTGGTTCTATCACTCCTTCTTCTAGTTCTGTCAATATCTCTAGAGGCTCTCTTTCTAACAGATCCACTTCTAAGGGTAAAGAATCTTCTGAGTCTAACCAAGAGCCTCTGGTTGAAGAAATTGTGCCAACAGATTTATCTTTCGAACATGACAAAGAATCCCTTCGTGACCAAGTGATTAAATTAGAGAGAGCTGATAAATATACCTCTTTAATTACTGAACCTTTGATTCAAATTGTTCGAAGAGACTGTCGTTGGAGAGATGACACCCACATAGTTATTCCTACCCCACACCAAAGAATATCTTCTTATAGGGTTGGCTTTTCTTTCGTTTGCACTTGTCCCTTTACTTTGGGATTTATTCCTGCTATTGATCCAGTCATACTTGATTTCTGTCGTTTTTTCAAAATTTGTTTGGCTCAAGTTGGTCCTCTCGTATGGAGAGCAGTAGCTTGTTTGAGGTATATGTCAACCAAAGCTGATGTCGACTTTACTTTCCCTCATCTAATTCATCTTTATCACCCAAAGTTATTCCGCAATGGTGTTTTTACCTTAACTGCAAGAAGTAAGAGGGTTTTGGTTAACCCTGAAGATAATAACGACCGTGGCTGGTACACCCGGTTTGTTGCTGTTCCCACAATTGATTTGGTGGGTGAAAATATTCCTTTTTCTGAGAAATGGAACTTTGCATGTAAGTATTTTCTTCCTTGTCGTATCTGCTTTCGTTATTTCAACTTCTCTTCTAATTTTATTATTATTCCTTTGCTTTTTTGTAGCAACCATGGTAGATGTGGAACCCGTTCCTAATTTTCGTGGCTTCGTAGATGCTGTCTTGAAAGCCGTGCCTATGGAGGCACGAACTTGGAAATCTATTTCCAACAAACATGGTTGGAAAGTGAAAACTCACGGTATACATCCCTTTTTGCTTCTCGTGTGTTAAATTCTTTTCCCCTCTTTTAACTTTTTATCCTTCTTATTGTCAGGATTTGCTATTCGAGGGATGTCGGCTGAAGTAGCTATCACTCTTCGAGCTTCTTCCAGTACTCCTCTTGCTTTGGAAAGAACACAAGCCATACTGTCAAAGAGAAAAGTGGTTGAAGAGGATTCTAACGTTGATGAAGATGAAGATACCTCTTTGACAGCTCGTCCTAGAACCAGGAGGCGCATTGTTTCTGAGGATGAAACTGAAATCTCTCCCGCTCGTATCTCCGAACCCGTTACTATTACCTCCGATGAAGAAACCATTCCAAGGGACTCCCCTGAATCCACTCATCGCCTCTTTATTGAGGGCTTCGAAAGTGGTGAATTAGGTCCGGTTTTAGATGAAATTCCTCTTTCATCTTCCGTTCCTGTTCTTTCTGTTCCTCCTCCTCTAATTTCAAGTGTTTCCTCACCCACTTTGTCTGTTCCTGCCTCTTTGTCAATTTCTGCTCCCTTACCTGCCTCGACTCCTTCGACTACTATTTTCACCTCTTCTACCGTTCCTCGTTCTATAGTTCCCCCTTCCTCTGCTCATTATGCAGAGGAGGGTTCTAGTAGCAGAAGCATGGATATGAGGAGTGTAACACTTGAGGTTCCTGCTAATAACAGTCTTTTAAGGAAGTCTGGCAGAGCAGATGTTTGGCTTGAACCCTTAATTGGAGATATTGAGAAAAAGAAGATGGACAGTCACAGTTGTCTAACTTTGATGAATGATATAGTTCAATGTACATTGAAGGTACTTTCCCTTTACTCTTTAATAAATTCTTCTTTTTTTTAATTCTAACTTTCATGAGTTGTTTTTGTAGGCTAACCTCATTGGTACAGAATTGATGGGAAGAATTTCCCTGTTAGAAAAGAAGGCTCGCGAGTCTGATCAGACTTTTCTTGAGGCTGAGAGGATAGCTAGAGAAGCCCAGCTTGAGGCAACCAATTGGAAAGAGCAGTTTAAAAATGCTCAGAAAAAGATAAAAGATTTGCAAGAGAATAAACGTGACTTGGAACAGCAAAAACAAATTCTGACTTCTGAATTAGCGGGGGCCAAGGCTTCTTCTAGTAAAGCTGAGAAGGATAAAGAGCGCCTTGAATGTTCTTTTTCAGAACAATTATCAAAGTCAAGCGAAGAGATTAGAGAACTTAAGGTATTGTTGAGCAAG